AGGCAGAGTCCTGATGGGAGCCCGAGGCAAAAGCCTTTGGGAAAGGAGAGGAAAGCTCTGCATGCCAAGTGGGCAGGGAGTCACATGCAAAAGGACTCATTTGTCGGACCTGAAAACACAGCAAGAGTTGAAGGGAAAACTGCAGACAGATCAGCAGGGACACCAAATGTGCTTTCCTCTCCTGCTGGAAAGCAACCATGTCCCTGTGTGATTGGTCGTGATGTCTCTGCAGACAGGAGCGTGGCAAAAATGAGCCAAACTCATTCCATGGGGGTGACCCTGCCCATCTGTGGGGTGACCCTTTTAACTACCTTCCGGCCCCTTGTGGGAGGCTTCACCAGCCGAGTGTCACCGTCCCACTCGGCTGCAGCTCCCCACCGGATGGCACCAAGCGTGGGCCGGGAGTCAGCCGGTTAGATGAGGTCACCGGAGCAGCCGTCTGGTCCAGGACAAGCAGGGCCTCGCCTGCAGCCTCTTGCACTGTAAGCCATGTGTCTGCTGTTCTGGCCACCCCTGCCAGGATCTTCCAAAGAGTGTCCCGATCCCACAGGACAGGCGTTTGCTCACACCTCAGCTGCGTCAGTGCCCCGCAGGGCATGCGTGCCGACTGTGTGTACGCTGTGTGTTTGCATGCACGGCTCCTGCATGTGGCTTTAGACACCGTGTAAACCGGCCGTGAAGTTCATCTCTACGGACTGTGAGCAGTGGGTAGAAAACTAGATAAAGAGATGCTAAAATAACCTGAAATACAAGATAGTTTACTTTTAATGTCACTTTCCGCTCCTCGTCTCAGGTTCCCCATTCTCCAAAATGGAGATGACAATGCCTCAGCTTGTAGATTCTGAGGGATCTGATCGTGAGGGTCGGAGGCAGGCGGAGCAACACTTTGTGGCTATTAAGAGACAAAGCGGTGAATGTTGGCGCCAGCCCAGCCGAACCCGGTGACGTCCAGGTACAGGGCTCGGGATGTCAGCAACGCACATGGGGATGGGGCCATGAAACCTGAGGTGAGCTGCAGATCAAGCTGGGAGCTGCCCAGCCACGCTCTCAGGATTCCCACGGGCTGAAAAATTACTAAACTTTCACTCTAGGATTTTTTTTTCAGGGATCAAGATGCTGGGAAAAAATTTGGACTTTAAGTTGTTTTTTTTTTAAGAGTAGGAAAAATGCATTGAGAGAACGATAGCTTCTAAGAGAGACAGAAGGGGGACCAGAAAATGGGTTTCCCTGGACTTTAAGTTCCGTAGTTTCTATTTTCTTACCTTCATGCTTGGAGCTGACCTGTCTTCATCTCAGTCTCTGGTTCTCTCTCTCTCTCTCCCTCTCTCCCTCTCTCTCCGTTACTCCCTACTTATGGGAAACTTGCTTGGTTTGTTGGGTGTCTCTGGTCCTCTGAGCTAGGAGAGGAGTAAGTTGACTCGACTCTAAACTCACACGGAGCAAGGCTGGTTTGTGAAGACACACGCTGGACACAGTGAGGCAGGGAAGTGCTCATTAATATGGCTTTTGACGTGATGGCGGTCATTTACCTGACCATCATTTGTCTCCAGGAAATGGTGTCAGAACACAGGTGTTTGCCATCTTTTCACAAGGCCTGGGACACTCCCTTCTCCACTCATGATGGTTTTGTGATTATTTACTCAATGACACTCAACGAGGAAACAACTGTTTATCAGAATCTACTGCTTGTGCACCAACTGTTGGTAACTGGAACAGGAAGCAGAAAGGGAAGAAGTAGGTCCTTCTCAAAGGAAATGTCCAGCGGGATTTGGGAACTCAGACCACGACCACGGCTTGGACCAGGTGGCCCTTGCTGTGTGACTTTGGTGGGGGCAGCCAGGGCACCAAGGCTGGTGTTTCGGGATCGGGACTTGGTCTGCACAGGGCCAGGCCTCTGGTCTCTGGAGCAGGAAGGGCATCTCTGAGGAGGGAAATGGAAAGGCATAGAATAGAATCTTCTCCCCACGTCTTTGTTTCCTTATCTGGAAAACATAAAAAGGGTAGCGTAAAAAACTTTTTTGAAACAGTTTGACAGGACTGAAAGGCAATAACTATGGCTGGGATTCACTTCCTCTGGAAATAAAAGTTTGCCTTCTCGGAGAGACAAGAACCCAGAAAGTGTCTCCCTGGTTCATTCACAGATGTGTGCTTCTTGTCTTTGTTCTGGTGCAGTCCTCAGCCAGGTCCTGTGTGGTCTGGCAGAGCCGTGGCCCCTGGATGTCAGGCCCTGGGGAGGAGTGTGCAGGGCACTGTGCTGGCCAGGGTCCTGCTGGTGGCCCACAGCAGGCCTGCTCGATGTCTGGAACATGGAGATGCACGGCTGTGGCACCCGGTGATGAAGGATGCGCACCATGTTTTCCAATTTCTTTTTTCCTTTGAGCCGCTTTGAACTGTGTCATTTTTGGGCCTCTTTCGAAATGTGCTTCAGCAGCTGATGCTGGCTTCGAACACCGAGAAGGTGATTTCACAAGGGCCTGAACCAGCCCGGCCGTGTCTCAGCTCCCCATGCAATTTGAGAAAGCACCCTGGGTCAGTCCTCATCACGGGAATGAGTGGCTTTCATAGGTGAACTTATCTTCAGAGCCCACGAGATGTGCATCCCTGATATCTCAGTTTGCAGATAAGGAAACTGAGGCAGGAGGCGATTAAACGAGTCTGAGGTCACAGAGGAGAAGTGAGATTTGACCGTGTGGTTTGGTCTCACGGCTCTAGCAGACCTTGTCAATATCACAGACAATCTGAGAAAAACCACCTTATTCTCCATCCTTAATCTATTCATAATGGAATGGCGCGATGTCTACTCGACCTGCCTCCCTAAGTTATTGGGAGGTACTGAGAAGCAAGAAAACTATAAAAATGCAGTGAAAGATTTTGCACCGTTATTCAAATGTCCAAAGGGAGGAATCCAAATGGTTTGGCCTTTTACTGAAAGTTCAGAGCTGTAATTATTCAGTGCCTTTCGCCTGTGCTTCCCTGTGATCACCCTGCAAAGGAGCAGCAAGAAACAGTCTCCTGCACTGCAGGACCTTCCGCCTGGGTGCACTTCCCTCCCAGACACTCTGGAGCAGCACCTTATGCCTTACGGCTCCAGGGAGAGGGTTTGTATAAAAGCAAAAGTGCGGAATGAATAATCGACCTTGAAAACGCAGGCACCGGCATATGACATCTGCAGATTACTGCAAGGAAAGCATCCCAACAGCATGCTGTAAGAGAGCCTTCTAACTAAAGCACGTTATTGTAAATACAGCGCTCGATTTGGGGACGCAATTCATCCCTCAAGTGGTGTGGGGTTGCAACTGCATTGAGTTTTAGGAGCCAGGAGCCAGGAAAGAGCTTTCCTCAGGTACAGAGGAATAAGCCCGTGTGTGTGTGTGTGTGTGTGTGTGTGTGTGTGTGTGTGTGTGGTCAATTAAAAAAAATTCATTCTCGGCAGCCATGGGAGATAGCCAGGAGGGAGTCGTGTAAGCAGTGAGGTAGAAGGCCACGTAGAGGGCACTGGGGAGCCCTGCCCGGGTTGCGGGGTGCCGCACAGAGCGGCTGGGGCCGTGACCCCGCGAGTGAGTGCAGGAGTGCGGACTGGTCAGACGTGACCTGGAAGGAGGACATGGCAGGCAGAGGGAGGGGACAGGAGACAGGATGGTCGGGGTGCAGCTGGGTGTCCCGGATGGCGGTGTCAAGGTCGGGCGTCGGGGCAGGGCCTGGAGGCCGTTGGGTTGGTTCCGAGGAAGGGCTGCCCTGTCTTTGTAGCAGAAGCCACTGCTGGGGTTTTAGAAAGAAGAGACGAGAGCGCCACCCCTATTTCTGGAACAGTATTTAGTAAACTGACTGCGCGTTTCCGAGGGCCTGGTGCGCGCGGGTGCTCTGCTCAGGGCTGGGCCGCTGCCTTCCCAGCCTCGCAGTGTGGGAGGCCGGTGGCCAGGTACTCGTGTAACGCTCTGGGGTCGGGCGAGGAGCGGAGGTGTCGGGGACGCTACTCCTCTCACTGTCGGAGGGAAGCGCTTTCCCTTGAAGGCCTCCCCCGACGCCGGGGCGGTGTCCGGGCTGCACACAGGGCAGTGGAGAGACGCGAAGGAGGCAGCCATCCGGCCGTCTGGCTGTGCTTCTGCTTCGGGTTCTTCTCGGGCCAAGCCTCGCTCCTTATGGTTCCTCACCGCTCAGGCGCTAGGAAATAAACTGGTGCGGGTTCGCTTTCCGTCTGCACGACGCCGTGGTTCTGGAGAGGCATAGAGTCCAGGCAGGGGCCCCGCGCGAGCGAGGCGCAAGGGATCCCTCGCTCCTCGGTCGGGCGGCCTCAGCGAGCCCAGGGTGCCCCGGTGGGCCAGGCGGGCGCTGCTTTCCCACTCGCCGCCAGGGGGCGCCTGTGGCTCGGGGCCCAGTGCAGCGGCAGGGAGCCCGGCCGGCGGGGTGAGGTCGGCTGCTCCTCTCTGCGAACCTGGGCGCGAACCTAGGGCCCCACGCTGCTCGGGGGTCGGCGCTGCCCGGAGACGCGGGGCGGGAGGGCCGGGGACCCCGCGGCCGCGCTGCAGCGGGCGAGCCCGGGTCTGCCCTCGGCCAGGTCCTCGCCCGCCTGGTCTGTGGCGCCCTGCTCGTCCCCGAGGGCGGCGCGCGTCGGCTGCGGCCGGCACTGTCGTCCCCTGGAAGCGAGGCTGGGCCCTGGACGGGCCGGGCACCGACCTGCGGCCCCGGCCCCTCCGTCGCCGTCTTCCCCCGCCCTCCCTTTTCCCTCAGCTCCTTTTCCGGTCCTGGGCTTGGAGCTCAGGGCCTCTGGGCCGAGCCACAGCCTCTGCCCCTTCCTTCGAGGCAGGGTTTCGCTAAGTGGCCGCGGGGCCCAGGCTGGGCTCGAACCCGCGACACTCCTGCCTCGGCTTCCCCGGGGCCCTGCCGGTCCCAGCCTGGAGCCTCTGCACTTCGGGGGGCGCTCGCGGTCCGGGAGGCGGAGCGGGAGCCCGCGGGCCCTTTAAGGCAGGCGGGCGGGGCGCAGGTGCGGCGGGCGGGGCGCATTTCGGGCGCGGCGCCGGCAGAACCGCGGGACTGCAGCTCCGGGCTGCCCGCGCCAGCATGAAGGACCGGCTGGAGCAGCTGAGGGCGGTGAGTCCGCGGCCGGCTCCACTCCGCAGTCGGGCAGCTCGGCGGCCGGCTGGACCCGGGCGGCGTCGGGTGACCGCGGCTGGGAGCGCGGGGCCGCTTCCGGGCCGGGCAGTCGCGGGCTGGCCACGCAGGGCGCTGCCCCTCGCCGAGGTCGCGTCCCTGGAAGCGCAGCCCGGGAGCCTGTGAGCCCCGGGACCCCAGCGGGGTGGCGACCGCCGGCTCAAGCTCGGGAAGACGCCGCTTCCCGCCCTTGCCGGGGACCTCGGCGCCCCTCGCGTGCGCCCGCGGCCTGGGGCCGGGAGCCTGGAGCCGGGAAGCCGCTCCCTGCGGGCCGAGCCTCGCGGCCCCACAGCCCGGCTTCGTCACGAGCCCCGGGGCGTCCCGCTTACGGAAGGGCAGGATTTATGGCCCTGCTTTATGGAGGACAGGCGGGAGCTGACCCCGGGTGGGGAGAGGGCGACGCCCGGGCCACAGGGTCGGCCCGGCCTCCCTATCTCCTGCCTTGGACGCAGGCGGGTCGGGAGCTTCGGAGACCGGTGTCGGCCCCCAGCAGCCATCCGAAAGCCCGGGACAGAACCGCAGACCGGGCGGCTCCCCGCCCAGGCCAGGAAATCCGTCACCAGAGGAGACTCCGAGGCCCATTCAGGCGTTATCCGCTCGGCAGTCTTAACTGAGCTTGGAGCCCAAGGATAAATGGGGTTCGCGGGAGCCGCAGCTGTCCCTTTACCCTAGCGCCTCATCTTCCTGCCCTCGCTCGGTGGGGAGGCCGGGCTGTCGTTACAGGCGCTGTTCTGAAACCTCAGGTGGCGGGCGTGCGGACCGGCTTCCGGCTCAAAGGCTTCTAGTCGGGGCCTGCCACCCGCTGGCGGTGTCCCTTCCCCGCTGGCGGCGCCCCTGGCCCATACTTCGTCTCCCATCTCAGCAGCCCCTCTGGTGGTATCAGTGGTTTCTGGGAAGGAAATCAGCTCTGCTCTAAGAAGTGCCGTCTTCCCCTGCAATTCCTCTTATCAGTGAAAAGCATTTGTTAACCTGCACGAAACAGACTTCACACTGAGCAGCTTCTTTCTGAAACCAGGGGAAGGGAGCCGATAACTGCCGTCAGAGTTGGAGGACTGTCCTGCGGATGCCAGTCTCTCCGTGGGGACAGGAGGGGCCACGGGCCACGGTGCCGGACAGGCCAAGGAAGGCGTCCGTGGGGCCCAGAGCTGGCCCAGGGCGGGTGGTGAGGTCTCCAGGAGAGAGGCAGGCAGGACGCCTGTGGGCGGTGAGTGTGCTAGGGACTTCAGCCCCCCTGTGAGGGGGGGAGGTGAGCTCGAAGACTGCAGGCCTCCGTTCTGAGCGCCTCCTGTGAGTCTGCTCTTGTTCCCGAGCTTTTCCTCAGGCCTTGGAGGCCCCAGAGTCCGCCGTCCCCAGGGTGAGGGGAGCTCTCCGCCTTGGCCTGCACCCAGCCTCTCCGGAGCCGAGCCGACCCAATCCGCTGAGTCTGTGTAGTTGCCCGGCCCCTTTCCGTTCGTCAGACAAGCCCTGAGTAGCTGCCATGTGCTGGGCTCTGCCAGGGTCCTGGGTGGTGGTGAGCTGCTCCTGTCCCTTGGGAAGTTCGCGATCGGGTAGGAGACTGCTAGGAGCCAGGCTCGGTGATAAAGGTGACCCGGGAGGACCCTGAGGGCCGGCCTTGGAGCAGAAGGTGGGGCCCCCAGAGGTAGCGTGGTGGCCCCGGCAGGGCCCTCCCAGACCTCTGCAGATGTGTCTGTGCTCAGGTTTCCTCAGCCACGCTCCCATGGTGAGGCTTCACGTGCAGCCATCAAGGCATAAGAAGTGCCCAGGGCGTCCACAGAGGTGTGGATCACTGTGGCCCGCGTGTTTTGAGCCCCAGGTGCCCTGCATGTAACAGAATTATTACATAAAGTCTTGGCCGTAAGAGTACACAGCTGCATAGGGAAACAGATGTGAATTTCATGAAAAGACAACACCGCCACCTACCACAGCAAAAACCCAGCGGTAAATAATGGCGGGGCAGGAGCCAGCGATGTGTGGGATAGGGAGGACTTGGGGCCCTCTTGGAGACTGAGCCAGGGAGGACGGGAAGTGACGCGGGTGTCCCAGACCCCCAGGACCAGCACCAACAGGGACGCCGATGAGGCAGTGGCTGGGCTCTGAGGGCAACCTCCCCTTGCTCCGTGGCCTGCCTGTGTCGTGCTCGCCCTCCTCACCCTCTGCACGTGTCTGTGGGGTCAGAGCCCCTCAGGGTGGCTTATATCGTGACCCGATCCCCAGGGGGAGTTGTGCTGCCTTCTCCCTTCCGGCTTGAATCAGTCAGTAAATGTTCACTGTGTCCATGCCCTCGCCAGACCTCAGGAAGACGCCATCCTCCTTTAAACGAGACATCTTGTTCGTCAGGGCTACTTCGCGCCTCCTGCCTGGGCTGTGAAGACCCGTGTCTCAGGAAGGCCGCTGTTCTGCTGTGGGCAGACAGGAGCAGAGGGTGGGGGGCCGAGCAGGGATTACAGCCCCATCAGCCGGAGGAGGCCGGAGAGGAGAGGCTTGGGAGAGAGGGGATTAATTTTATTTTTATTCCTGTGAGTGCAGGGGAGGCTGGGGACCAGCAGGATTTGTTCACTCAGTCTCTCTCTTCCTCCCAACTTGTGCTAAAATTCCTACCCATGTTCCCAGACTCCTCCTTTCCCAGGAGTTAGAATGCTCTCCGCCAGTCCTGCAGCTTGCATGAGCTGAATGTGCTGCTTCTCTCTCTGCTAAGTCGTCAGGGTCTTTTTCTTCATTATCACGGGTGGGCTTGAAACCGCCTGGCACTTGTCTTCTGTGAGCTGGACTCTGTCTGTGTGCGATTGTGTTTCAGATCTGTGTTCTAATACTTGTCACCATATCGAGCGCAGGGCCATGGACTGGGCCTTTGGTACTGGACAGACCTGCGCGTGGTGCCTTGTGCACCTGTGTCTCGTCCTCTCGGTCCCTCAGCATAGGGAGGCTTCCCTTCCAGGCCACAGCAGCCGCCCTTCACGGAACCCTCAGCCTGCGTTTGCTCATCTGTAAGAATGGCCAGCTTGGTATTGCCGCTGAAGGGGCTGCTTGTCCTGTCAGGCCTGGGCTCTGGGAGAGCGCAGACCGAAAGTACCTCACTGCCTCCTGCATTTCCAGCCCAGCCTGAGAAGCCGAGAACTGAGCCGTTCAGTGGACGAACGGGCTGTGCTTTATTTTGCCAGTGTGTGCACCTGCAGGTCCTGCGGCCCCTCGTCTCCAGCCCCTTACAGATGGCCTCTCTGCAGCTTCGGGCCTCCCTCCCACCTCCCCTGCCAGGCAGGCTGCTTTCGGGCATTGAGCTGTTTCCACAGCAACGCTCCCTGGCCTCTCAGTGGAGGAGTCTGAACTTCAGCCTCCCTGAAGCTGTGGACTTGGAGTGTGTACTGTCTGCTTGTGACCGGTGGTCTGGTTAAGGCAGCTTGCTATGGCATCAGGATGTGTTTTAGAATAACTAAACTTTGGATTACTTTTAGATTTATAGAGAAGTTGCAGTGATGGTCAGGGAGTCCCATCCACCCCTCACCCACTTAACCATTACCAACATCTGGTAGTGCACAGTGACACTTAGGAAAACTGCGGAAGTGCTACTGGGTGCATTGCCACCCACTAAATACCAGGGGTGGCGGGGAGTTTGCGTTAGTCCTCTAGGGTCCTTTCTGTCCTGGGATCAGTGCAGCGCGCACTGCATTCAGCTATCAGCGCGGGGCTTCCCCCTTGTTCTCCCAGGCAGCCAGGGCCTGTGCTGTGCTCCAGCAGGGCTGGTGTTCTAGAGGGACCCTCCCTGGGGGGACAGTGTGCGGGACACACACAGGCTGAGAGGAAGGGCCGAGGAGGCAGGGGGACAGTCCTAGCTCCTCTCCTCCTGTCCACAGCCTTGAGCACTGACTGCTGTGGAGCGCTTGAGGGGCCTGGCTGGGACGGAGGGTGGAGGAGCGAGGAAGTCTGAGAGGGAAGAAATGGGGGCCGAGCAGGAGGACCTAAGGGGGAGCCCTCTGCAAGGAGGAAGACGGGGGTTACCGGAACGTCCTTGAGGGCGAAAGCAGGCCTTCTCACGCCAGGCCAGTGGCCTTCCTGGAGCTTTCCTTTGGGTAAATCCGCTCAGGCTTCAGCAGGCTTCCATCTGCTCCAGGCGCTCCCTTGCACCCTTTCTCCTGGGTGGGTACTCCCGAGCTAAGTGCTGTCCCCGCTCACCACGGGGGGCGTCATGGCCTGTGTGCCTGGGTGGCTGCATCTGAGGCTGAGACCCCAGTGAGCTGGAGAGGCCCGTTTGCCCTGTGACTCTCTGGCGCTGGCAGATGTTGGATGATCCAAAAGTACTGTGGGTGAATGATGACCCCATGACTCCAGTGAGAAGGGGAAGGCCTGGCAGGCTGCTGGCTTACGAGACCTTGAGGCTGTCTCTCCGTCAGTGCAGTAGAGAACCTTGGGTTGGGCAGCAGAGCGGATCAGAGCTGGCTCTGCTCCTGATCAGGTCTGGAGCACAAGCAGGTAGGAAAGAACATGACTCGTGGGCATGGAATCTTGAGGATGTCTGTATCCAGCCAGCAAAATACAAAACACACAGGAGTTTAGGAAATACTGAACCTGTATGATGACACAGGAGACGTCAAACACCACTGAGTATGAGTTGTCTTGGCCACGTCCCTGACAGTGATGTAACCTGGAAATGACCGGTACACCAGTAGTCCACCCAGGCTTACTCACGTTGAGATTTAACATACCTTTTCAAGTAACTCTTGGCTTAAAACAGAAGTGACAGAAAACACAAGTGAATAATAACTAGAGCAGTGAATATCAAAATTTGTGAGAAGGTTGCTGAAGCAGGATTTAGAGGGGAGTTTATTTCTTTGAGGCATAGAGTAGAAAAGTGACAGATTTATAATAAATGAAGTAAATCCTGTGTCTGTGAAATCTGCTATTCCTCAGAAACCTGAAAACTGGCCTGAGAGCCTCATCTTTTTACT